AATAAATAAGACTTACTCACAATCAATTTTATTTAACTATTCAGACGACCGGTTTCGCTTTCTACAATATGCAAAGCATCTTCAGGTCTCGATACAAAGTTAAATAAATGCTGAAATGATAAAAACCCATATTAGGGTGTTGTCTAATAAAGATAAACAAATTAGATGTTATAAATTACAATAATTATGCCAATATTACATGTCTGTGGTTTTCTTAAATGAATAAAAATGAATAAAAAGGTATAAAAAGTTTAAACAGACAAGGTAAGACCCACAAATGGTCACAAAATAGTCTATTAGATTGTAATAAATTAATAAATGAGCAAATAAATAAACATTCCTTACATGCCGGTACTCTATTAATTCATGGATGGTAGAACATGGTTGAAACTATCATGTATTGTTGAATGGAGAACTGAAGCCTGCTATTGTAGTTGTTTGACAGTAAACGGGAAGTTTTTGAGGAGATAGATTTGATGCAATGAAGTAGAGATAGGTGTGTGATTGTTTGTTAAAAGAAAGTGATGTTATATACCATTGTATTATTTAAAAGTTATTTATACTTGTGCAACACCCACACAATTTGTGCATCTAAGCTTATTCATTATCAAAAAACTGTCACCTTCATAAAACAAATACTCAATAAAAAATAACACACATTTCATAAATATATCTATCGAATAAGTACCGATTATACCCATTTCGTGATTAAAAAACATAGGTGTCACCGACCAAATTGTTTGTTTTTGTGACTTCATGTTCGATGCTTTTATTTGCTATAATGTTTTCAAGATAATTTTTACGTTGTTTTTACCTATTAATTTGATATCAACAACCTCATTTTTAAAATAAGCATTATTGAACAAAAAATGTCCTAGCTTTGTAGCACCGGTATTATACAGGAGTTATATACCTTGCTTCGTAAGTATAGAGGGATTGTTTGATTTTTTAGAACGTTAGAAAGTTTGCCGAATGGTGCCCATCCCATTGTTACTCGTCTCGATATTTCAGCTGTTTGATTTTCTCTGTTAGCTCTGATTGCTTGCCCTAGATAGATATACTCATTTACCTGTTCTATTTTTTCTGTTTTTATATTTATTGCCTCTTGATCTTCCGTGTTTGTCATTACTTTTGTTTTGTTGAATGTAATTTTTAGGCCATTTTGTAGTGATTTTTCATGAAGTTCATTCAGCATTAATTCCAGTTCTTGTCGTTCCGAGGAGATCAGGAGTCTTATATATCTTAGATCTTAGATATCATCCGCATATCTAAGGTGATTTAGGTATTTTCCTTTAATACATATTCCTCTATTTTTCCAATCTGTTGATTTTATTATGTCTTCGAGTATCAAGGTAAACAGTTTAGGTGAAATTATATCGCCTTGTTGGACTTCTCGTTTAACTTTTATATTATCCGTTAATAATTTGTCGTCCAGAATTACGGTCATGGTTACGTTTTGGTAAATATCATGTATCAATTGTCGGTATCTTGAATCTATTGTACTATTGACCAGGGCTTCTTCAACCACCCAGTGTACAATGCTGTCGAAAACCTTTTCATAATCTACGAATTCTAAGTACAGCGGAAGGTTGTATTCATTGGTTTTCTCAATTAAGATTTTAAGCGCATGTATATGGTTGATTGTGCTGTATCCTTTCCTGAATCCGGTCTGTTCCACTGGTTGGTAGTTATCAAGTTTTTAGGTTACTCGGTTGTTTATTATTCTTGTGAAGGTTTTATATAGTTGTGACAAAGGGAAATAGGACGGTAGTTGTTTAGGTCTGTTCGGTCTCCTTTCTTATGTATTAAAATTGTGTTGGCATTTCTCCATTGTTTAGGTATTTTACCTTCAAACAGACATTTGTTAAACAGTATTTTTAGCATTTTTTTTATCGTGTCTCCTTCTTCTTTTAGCAGTTCCGCCAGTATTTTGTCCTCACCGGCCGCTTTATTTCTTTTCATGTCGGTTATGGATTTTTCGATTTAATCTTCAGTTATTTCTGGTAATACCTCTGAGCCAACATTTTGTATTTTCCTCGAGAGATTCTGTTTAGATGATAGTGGTGGGTCATTTTTAGAACTGTATAGGTCTGTGTAATATCTTTCTGTGATTTTTACTATTTCTCCTAGATCTCTTTCTTCATTGTTCTCAGCTTTAAGCATGATTAGTTTTCTTTTTCCTATATTTGTCTTCATTGTTTTTAAACTTTTGTTCTTCTCTATGATTTTCTTAATGCGACCTTCTTGGTATTTCTTTAATTATTCCTTTATCTGTTTTCTTATGGTTTTGTTCAGTTCGGTAAACTCAGTGTTTACCGAAAAATAAAAATACTGTGGAGTTTACCGAACAATAACATAACGGTCCTATATCTGATCCTATGTCTAATCCCCGCCTATTATATGGTCCATTATTCATTAATATGTAATAATAGTTTTGTGTACTTTACCAAGAATCAGAAGTACTAAACTGGCCTAATTAAAACTCACTAAGCACACGATACTGGTCGAAAGATACAATGAAACTCAATAAATGAGTCACTAAATATGAACACAAAGAACACTCTACTAGAAAACAGCCAAAATTCAATATTTTTAATTAAAGAGATTAAATTTTTTGCAACACCCGATAATTTTTGCAAAATTAAAAGATGATTTTTGAACAGATTCAATAAGTTTCAATATATCTTGGTCATATATTTTACTGCACAAATTTTATTTGATTTGCATCGAAAGTTGACTCAGTAGATATCTTAATAGTAGTAAAGTTTCAGAGTTGTTTTGTATGCATCTAATAATTTTCTTTAATGATTTTTATTTTCATCTTTATTGATCCAAGCATACTCAATGAAGTTAAAATCAGCAGATCTTGGTGATATTAGAAAATAATGAATAGTTTTAGTTTTGTTAGCTTCGAATACAGTAATCTACTTTTTCTTCTTCTTCTTCTTCATAGACATGACTCTGTCTGTTTTTTAATGTGCCTCCAGTAAGTTGTCGTTCTATAATTTTCGTGGTCTTCCTACTGATCGTTTTCCCATTGAGGAACCGTCTCTTGCCGTCTTTATTGCTGTATTGTCATTCGGCTTATATGATCCTTCTATCTTCTCTTCTATTTCTTACCCAGTTTTTGATATTCTCCACCTTGCATCTACGTCGTATATTTGTAATTCTAGCTCTATCCCATAGTGTCTTACCATCAATTTTTTTAAAGTGTTTTCATCTCTGCTGTTTCTAACATCATTTTTTGTCCTCTCTGTATCAGGTCTTGTTTCTGAAGCGTATGTCATTATTGGTCTGATGACTGTTTTGTAAATTCTAACTTTAGTTTCTTTCCCAATATTTTTATTTCTCCATATTGTTTCATTTGGGCAGCTTTCGGCTTTGTTTGCTCTATTCACTTGATCTTCTACTTTGGTTTCGAGCATTCCTTAGCTAGATAATGTGATGCCTAGATATTTAAACTCCATCACTTGTTCTATTATCTGACCTTCCAGCTCCAATTTACATCTAATATATTAAATTGGTGCAGCATTCGTTGTAAATCATTTTCACTTTGAGAGAGTAGTATCGCGTCTTCTGCATAGCAGATTATTTTAAGTTGTTTTTCTCCCATTTGGTATCCTTTTTTAGTTCTTACTTTTTTATTTATTATTATTTTTATTATTTTTTATTAAATAATACATAAAATAATGCAGCAATGTATTGATAAATTGTCTCAGTTTTATTATCGGCAATGAAAAGTCTACCCATAGTGGCTTCAAATATTAGACGTTGACCATTTTCTTTCTATAAATCACACTTGTCGTGTTTAAATTTATAATGAGGAAGTGTGTACTTCTATTAAAACAAATTCCCCTCATACTCTAGCAAAACACTCTAAAAATTAATAAATTATCTGAATTACACCAAATGCTGTATTGGTTTCTACTGGTGTTGCCCAAAATCAGTCTTGGTCTTGTAGTCTTGGTCCAAGATCGCCTAATTTTAACAAGACCAAGACTAAGACTGTACGTGTAAGATTTGAGCAAGAACAAGACTAATCCTGCGAGATTCTTGCGTCTTGTAGTTAGGACTGAGTGTCGTTTTAAGGAGTAACGAGACAAATCAATAAAACAGATCATTCCGGCTATTGTAACAGTGCAAACAAAATACTGAAATATTTAAAGTAACGAAGTAACTGAAAGTATTTTTATTTATAGAAATGGTGGGTATGTATGTTTTGTAAACTGTATTACTATGTATTAATTCTTGGCCAAAAAAAATTGATATAAAGTAACAGTTATGTCAAAGCTATTGCGTACTGTTCTGTAATTTAATTCGTATGGTATTTTACTTTTTATTTAAATAAATGGCAAATTGTAAAACTCTTCTATTTGATTTCATGTAAGGTGGGGATCCATCAATCCCTTTCTAGACAGATAATGTCCTTTACAGTCAATCTTATGTCTTAGGTAGAGATCGCTTAGATTCGGGTTCAAATCCCACCCGGTGTCAGTTGTTTAAACATTTATTGATATGGTTGGTCTGTATTATGGCTATGTTAATTCATGCATAAAATGTACCTACTTTGTTGCGTTATTCTAAAATCTAAAGTAACGTTTAGTAAATACCAATAGGTTAATGGGTAATTGCGAAACTTGCAAGACTTTTGCTGCAAGACCAAGACCAAGAACAAGACCAGGTTTACTGGTGTTAGACCAAGACCAAGACTGTCTAAGTCTCGTCTTTTTCTTGCGTTTGGGCAACCATAGTTTCTACAGCAGTTAGTTACGTTTTTGACATCTTTTTTTCTAGAAAATCGTCAGTATGCTAAGGACTTCTTTGTGTTTTGTACAATTCAGAAACACGTTAATTTCTTGAAAATGTTTTAGAACGTATATTTTTTAAAAATTTATGTAATTTTTTGCGAATAAGGACATTTTTAATAAATTTGTTTACTGAAAGTTGATTCTTAATCTACACTTGTGTTTTTAGGTACACTTTTTGCAGTATCAGATGGTATGATTTATGGCTGGAGTGCACCATACATTCCATATCTTATTAGTGATATAAGTCACATCCAAACAACTAAACGTGAAGCCGAGTTTTTAGAAACTGCATTTCTACTGGGATCGTTTTGTGGCTTACCATTTACGGTATATCTCGTTGACAAAATTGGAAGAAAAAAGTCACTCCTTCTAGCGTCGTTCGTTGTATTACTAGCATGGCTAGCAATAGGATTAGGCAACCAGATGGTGTATATTTTTGTAGCCAGATTCTTTTGTGGAATGTCAGGAAATATGGCATTCGTAGCAGCGCCGTGTTTTATTGCAGAAATAGCAGATTCCAAAATAAGAGGATTTTTGTCAAGTATTATTTACGCTATGATGTTATTGGGGTGTTTAATAGTGTATTCAGTAGGACCTTACTTACCTTTTTACGTCCCATGTATAATAGGCGGGACTGTCGCTATTATTGAAATATTAGTATTTTCTAGAGTACCAGAAAGTGCACTTTATCTTCTTTCTAAAGACAGACCTGAAGATGCCTTACATTCGATCAAATTTTACAAACCTTATGTTGATCCTATAAAAGAATTGGAACAAATTTCAAAATCATTAGAGGAGCAAAGACACGAGAAAGGAAGATTTTTGGATTTATTTCTAGTACCAAGCAATAGAAAGGGTATACTAATTATGACGGTTTTAAATGCTGGCCAACATTTTTGCGCTTATTCGGTTATTTTAATGAACTTACATCTAATTCTGGAAAATGCTGGTACTAATTATATGAATAGTGCTCATGCTGCCATATTATTTGCTGCTTTAATGCTAATGTCAGTTATATTTGCTTCATTTCAAATTGATAAGTATGGTCGAAAAGTTTTACTTCTTTTTTCTAGCATACTAACCGCCGTTTGTCTTTTGAGTATTGCCGTCTATTTTAATCTAAAGATAATTGGATATAATGTTATAAGTTTTAGCTGGATACCAATTGTTTCTATCATGATTTATGCTGTAGTTTTTAAACTTGGCGTTGGAATTGTACCCATCGTTATAACTGCAGAAATATTTCCAAATAACCTTAAAGCCATTGGCATGACATTGTCAGATGCAATGTTCATAACCGGAGGATTAGTCGCCGTCAACTTGTATCAGTTTATGACTGAATATATAGGAATTCATGTGCCATTTTACATTTTTGGCGGATTTGCAGTATTTATTACATTTTACACAATATTTTTTGTGCCCGAAACAAAAGGAAAAACTTTAGAAGAGATTCAATCTATTTTAAAAGGAAGAAATCCAAACGATATGGATATAACGCGAAACGGAATTATAGAAAGTAATAATGCTGGTTAGCCTCTATTAGGAAATCAATCGGAAAGGTAAAAAATAGGGTCCAAATGTGACGAATGGTAACTTGATTAGCGAAAAAATTATTTATATACTTATCTAATTTACTTACCGTTGCACGTCATCCGCGTCATGTGGTCACATGATACCAACACGAAATATTTAGGCGCTAGGTGTGTTCTTTTTTAGAATCACTTTGACGAGTACACTGGCATTACAGCCAGTAGACATATTTTATTATATGCGCGTAGAAATAATATTTAAATATTTCTATTAATATTAACTTAAAGAAATACTCGATAATATGTTTCATTTAAATTGCATAAATGCATTATAAAGCGTTTTCATGAAGAACATTTGTTTGGAACATACTGTAACTGTAATCGAACGAAAGTGATATTTTGGCATAAATTGGTAACAATTATTTGACAGTTGCGGTGTTAATACTTTTTGTACTTTATTGCTTTAAATTTTAAAGTAAATACCTCTTGTTTTATATTTTTACCTGTTTAATAAAATCTTTTATTTTTAGAACAAAATTAATTTCTTTTATTTCAAAAATGTCAAGTAAGAATTTAAATAGTCGTTGTAAAGATATTGTAATACTTTTGCAATAATTATGTAACCTATTTGATTTAAAATGGATACAGGATTTTTGTTACTTTTGCAACTATGTCAACTTCGATCTCAGTCAATGATAATAACGTGCAATGGTAAGTGAATTAGAACGACTGTATGTGTTTAATTCATAATAGACCAAAGAACAGTATTTATAAAAATCTTAAACCGCATGCTATCAGCTACTATATATATATATATATATATATATATATATATATATATATATATATATATATATAAGAATATTCTATAAGCTTGTAAGAATTTAAATAAAAATATTTAGTTTTTTTTAAATTACAGATAATATTGAACATTTTATTTATTTATTTACCTATTAATATTTCTTAATTTAGTTATCGAAAACTAACAGAAAAAGAAAACATTGGTATCTTAGTTCATTTATATAATACAATACAGAATATATAAGTTATTTCATACTTATACAAAGTGGCATGAACAATGAACATTAATCAACCAGTATGAAATCCATGTGATCTTGTCAATGTGCATATTATTAATTAATGCAAATTGTCTTAGCCGATGTCCAGTATCATTTGTTGTCTCGTGTAGGCTACGTTTACCCACTATCTCTCGTAAATAATGTTTTCTGCCTAGTTTCGCATTGCAATCAGGAGCAGACTAAGGCAACTTAGGCATGTGCCTAGGGCATGTACGTTTTAAGGCACAAAAATAAGGTTTTTACTTTTTTAATTTTTATAATCATTTTTTTTAACAAAGAACGTGATATCTTTAATTATTGCTGAAACGTTAAAAATATCCAAATTATGCCTAATCGTTGATTTTAAAGTGCTACGATACGGAGCTCTAATCTGTTTGTGAATTCCTCTAGAAGGTTGATCTTTTTAAAAATCCCACTGAAGTTCCATGATTCTATGCGTAAATCTTCCGTTTGGTGTGCTAACATTTACGGGCAGCCTCTCCAAATGCTGTCATCAACTTTGTCGTCTTTTCCATCATCGCACAGAATTCCACATTTTATTATTGTATTCTGTGTGGAAGTTTGCTATGAGTGTTGCCGCATCTTGCAACAATTGCGAGAGAGTAGGAGTTTCTGAAATGGCTTGTGTGGATTTTTTGGCCGCTTGCGCATACCTGACCCCGTTATTGTTTGGGGCGCTATTTATTGGCTTGCCTACTGGTTTTTTGGGGGCAGTAGATTTCTTTTTCGTGACCCCGGAACACCCACGGTAATTGGCGGTATGTGCTTCGTCGCATTTTGCTCACTTTGGCTTCGTTTCCTTGCGTTTCCCGCATTCGTTGCTGACGTGGATCTCGTGGCACTTTACGAATCTAGGGCTTCAATGGCAAGCCTTAGAGCTGTGGCAATATCCTTGACAATTATAGCATTGCAATGTATCCTTTGTTGTTTTGAATTCATCCTCGATGTATATTCGTAAGTAATACAGGTCAGTTATTGCTTTCATTTTTGCATATTGACCTTTTTTAGGGTGACTATAAAATGTGGTAGTACTTTTTTATCAGGTTTTTTGAGATCATGCTTATGACCCTTGTGGCGTTGAAACCTTTGTTAATTAATACATTTAGAATTGTGTTTGTGCTTGTCGTTGGCCGATAATCCTTTGGTGATAACTCTCTTGAGTTTATCATTATCAATTGGGTATGCTCTAAATTCTACCTTAGGCATATGTTCCTCTTAGGCAGGGGTGCTCAAACTTGAACTGCTGGCGATCTACCTCAATATTTTTAGACTACTTACGATCGACTCTGAGAGACTGCAAGTGTGTGTGATGCAGGGTTGTCGTACATACACGATACACCCTACCTACCTAGCTAGGGCGTACCGTAGCATATATAGATATTAGCTTTCTGCACAATATAGGTACATTATTTTAGTCAAGGTTTGGGTTAGGTTTAGTTAGGTTCTTATCTACAATATCAATGAAAAAACTCATAGTTATTTAAAATTGCGAGTTTATTTGTTGTTACAAAACAAAAGAGTTTAATATGGTGTTAAACTTAACTAAGGGGTGGCTTTGGATGTTGAAGCGTGGCACTGCATGTCCTCAGCATACTTTTCATAAGATGGTTCGTAACCACTGAGTGCTAATCGCAAGCATGATGTCATATGATCGTCAGTTAGTCGAGTGCGATATTTTGACTTAATTATCTTTATTTCAGAAAATGCAGACTCGCACAAGTAAGTTGACCCAAAAAATGCCGTCAGTTGAAGGACGATTTGCCTTACATTCGGATATTTATCTTCAGATATAAAACGCCAGAAATTTGTATCAGATACTGTAGCTTTGAGATGTATATCTGATATATTCTGCACCAACTCATTTTCAACAGAACATGAGTTCATATTAAACTGACTTGCTATTTCAGTAGCTAATTCCTCAATGTTTTTACATGAAAAAGGATAACTCATAAATGATGCTATATTTTCCAATTTACTGCAATCATAAAAACGCATTTCGAATTGTCCCAAAATATTTGATAATTTAGCCTCATACTTATCATAATTCAACGGAGGAACCCTGACTTTCAAAGATGAAAAATGTTTCAGATCCTTTCTTTTCAGTTGATCTATCATAAGTTGCAATTTACTTTTGAATGCGTTTACTGCGCTAATCATCTCAATAATAGTTTTTCCTTTACCTTGAAGCTTCAAGTTAACGGTGTTTAAGTGCATTGTGATGTCAGTCAAAAATGCCAAATCATTTAGCCATTTTTCGTTTTTCAAAATCTGAGTATCATCACCTCTTTCGTCTAGAAAAGCTGTTATTTCGGACAATAATTCTCGAAACCTTCCTAGGAATTTTCCGCGACTCAACCACCTGACGTCCGTGTGAAGAACTAAATCAGTGTGTTCAGCTGACTCCCTATCTTCCAACTGCAACTGAAAGAGCCGATGTTGCAAGCTACGTGTACGGATGGAATTCTCAATTTTTGTTGCAATGCCTATAATTTCCTCCGTGTTTAAAACTTTTGAACACAAAACTTGTTGATGTATAATGCAATGGAATGAAAAAAATGAAGGGAATTCTTCATTAGCTCGACACAATGCCACAAAACGGTTTTTGTTTCTAGTCATTGCTGGTGCTCCATCGGTTGTAATGCACATTAATTTATATATTGGTAGCTCGTAGTTTTTTACGAAATTTAAAAAAACCTCATATATATCTTCGCCACGGGTCTTCCCCTTCAGAGGAATGATTGTCAAAAATTCTTCCTTAGCCAACATGTCATTGAATATCATCCGAATAAAAATACACAGCTGGGCAGTGTCTGTCATATCGATGAATTCGTCGAACTGTAAAGAAAATTATGTACATTCCATGATATCATGTTTTGGTTTATCTGCGATGTCTTGACTCATGACTTCAATGCGCCTTGTGACAGTCGGACGAGATAACTGAAGTTCTCTAATAGCAGACATGATTTCTGTTTTATTTTTAAAATCTCCAAATAAAGTCTCACCCGCTTCAATAAATGCTTCCTTCACCACCGATCCATCTTCAAATGGTTTCTTGTGTTTCGCCAAAATATGAGATATTTTAAATGACGCGATCGTAGCAGCTTTTGATTGTTTGGATGGTCTTGTGAACATGGGTTGTTCTTTTTTCAAACAAGATATCAAATCACTTACTTTTTTGAACCGTTTTATGATGCCTCTCTAAGTTACCACGCTTAGGTATTGCAACTGACGCACGACAAATAACATAAATGTACTTATCCTTCACCATAGAAAAGAAAAATTCTTCCTTCCAATCATTATTAAAATGATACGTTTTAGATTTCTTCACTGCACTTATTTTCCACTATTTAATAATAAACTTTGTATCGACGTAGGATCGCTATCAAGTTACAATTCAGAATAACTCCAATTCCTGCAGGCGCAACATTTATATCGGCGTGAACGAAAGTCTCGAATGTTCCCGTCAAACGCGCCGCCCGAAACTAGACTTTACTGTCTCTCGTCTAGAAACAACACGGCTTTTCTTTGACAAGTGCCGCGCGTTCCTTTGATAAAGCCACCTTTTGCCGCAAGCAGTGGTATTTTATTACGTAATACATTTTTGTAGTTGATAGAATATCATCCCAAATTTGATTAATAATTATAATAAATATTGAATTAATAAAATAATTAGTTAATATATGTATATATAAAATATACTGTGTGGACAGTATTTTGTTGTCCCCACTTCTTTGAATTGCAATGATGCTTAGTAAAGTATTCTATGTATTTGTATAGTTCAGTATTAATAAAAACGTTTAATTCTGATGACATTAGTTTAGTTACCTACCTACTTATTAAAATTTTTTTTCTTTTCGAGATCTACCCAAAAAAGCACTCGCGATCGACCAGTCGATCGCGGTCGACCGTTTGAGCACCCCTGCTC